CTATGTGACGCACTGAGAAGCTCGGGAAGTCCTCCTCTGACTCCATCAAGCCGTTCAGACTGTAGGAAGCCCCTGAAACAGTAAACAGGAATCATCGCACAAGAGGACCTATGATTTACAGAAGTCATTCCTGGCACAAAGTGGGTCAACAGATACTTTAGCGGCTGAATGGGCAGTGGGCATGAAGAGTGAAGTGGCCAGATCTGACAGGTAATAGAGAAGGCATCAATGGGACCTGCTAGCTGGGGCCATCTGGGCTGACCCCGGAATTTCTTCCAAATGCCTGGCCTTCTGATTACTGAGATCTGGCAGGGCTGAGGAGCTGGCAGGGGCGCACAGTGAGATGAAGGAAGGCAGTATCAGTGGGTGTGGGAATGCAAGACACTCAAAAATGAGAGGCCCTCTGTGTTGGCACAAGTCTAACGCAGAATGTGAGTGAACTGGTTTTCATTCATGCTTCACAGATGCTCCCTGGGCGCGTGGTGCTCACCCACGCCTGCAGCAGGGCACTGTGTCAGGGTTACTCCCTTTAGTCTCCCTCCAGTTTTCATAAGCTACATACAAATCAGGAAACCTGACAGAGTTCTTAGGGGAAATCCATCAGCCTTAATAGCATTGTGCAAGGACAATTTCTGTCAGGAAAAATTTGACAGTCCAAAATATTCCTCTTCCCATTAAAAATCTCAATAAAAAAAAAAAAGTGGTTGGGTTGGAGTGGCTAAAGTGGTAAGAGTGCCTGCCTAACAAGCATGAAGCCCTGAGTTCAAACCCCAGTGCCACCAAAAAAAAAAAAAAGGCTATGTATCCTACATTTGTCAGGAAAAAAAAAAAATCTACTGTTTGAGCCAGTCAATGGTACAGAGGAGTTAGGAATCCAAAGAAAAAAATCAGGATTGCTCTTTAGGCCAAATTCATGGATAATAAACGAGGAAGTCCAATTTCCCAGTCACCCCTGCTGAGTGAAGACGTGACTTTAAAGTAAACCAGCACACATTTAGGCACCTCTTCTGGGATGCAATGGTGAAAGGCCAGCCAGGACATGGTGTTGGGGGAGGTGGCTTTCCAGAATCTCACATTCTGCAGGCCGGGGCTAACCTGGAACTCAGGTGCTGCAGCACTGGGCTATGCTAGCTTTGCTGACAAGAGTTGGAAGAATTGCCTCAGAGCTGGGTGGGACCTTAGGTGAGTTCCCCTCCTCCCAGAGCAGCCAGGTGCTGTCTTCCAAAAGGGTAATTCAGAGAATGTCACTCCACCTCAAAAGCCTTCAGTGGTTTCCTCCAGAATCCGGTGTACAATTGAAATTCCTTTTGCTGAGAACAGCCCAGGTAACCTGAAACTTCCTAGTCTACTTTCCCACTGGCTTCCTCCCAGTTCCTTGAATATGTGGAGCTCTTTCTTCCCACATCCTTTGCACTTTTCCTTCTATTTGAAAACTCTCTTCCAAATGCCTTGCAAAGCTAGTTCCTGCTCATTCTTTTGGCTATTACCTCCTCACAGAAAGCTTTTCTGACCATGACACTTAAAACTGGACAATATCAATACAACTGTTTCCTTCAAAGCATCCATCACAATCCGAAAGTATTCACTCGCTTTCTTTTCTGTTGCCTGTCCATCTCTGAGGTTCTTAAAGAGGGAGCAAGGGTCTTGTCTGCTGGGCTCACTGCCACCTCCCTATGGAACAGGCCTGGCACTTAGCAGATAGTAAGTGCCTACTTATGGACTGATCACCTGCCTACCAGGAATTTGGGGGAAATTAACTAAGAACATAAAGAGCACAGCATAGTGTATTACCTATAGCAGAGCCACAATTCCCATAGCTGTTTTCATCCCTATAGTTGGTGATTCCTAGGAGTTCTAAGGAATGTCATGAAACTACAAAATGTCTGTGACCCATATCACACATCTCTTCTACCTAATATGCACTGGTCAGTTCTATCAAGCTTTGGCCGGTGATGGACTTGAGGTGATTGGCATTGTATTTTAACTTCTGATAAGTCACAGAGCCAGAATAAAACTGTGAAGTGGTATTAGCCTGTGCTATGACAAAGAAAAGCCAATAGACAGGAACCAAGACATTTGTACTGATGCTTAGAGGCAGAGCTGCTGGCATTAAGTAGTCCACATTTCGCCAGGAATTTCATTGCCAAAAGCAGACACAAGAAGGAATAGCAATCCATTCTATGAGGTTTGGTCTCTGGCCACACTGCTAGCTCTATTCTGTCTGGGTGTGTAACATTGAATAAATTATGTGTGCTTCAGTTTCTTCATCTGTAAACTGAGGATAGGCAGAAATTGGCTGTAAAGGTAGTAACTATAAAACAGGTTAACCTATGCAAAGCATACCTGGCATGCTGCAAGACTCAGTATGTTTTAGCTATTATTATTCAAAGCAAATCTAAAGAGAGGGAGAAAGGCAAAAATATTTACTAAATGCCAACTGTACTTAAAAAACAAACTGGTTCTTGGAGTTTAGATATAAAATGAGGGTGTGCCCTGGCTAAGCACGGGGTGTGGGGGGGTAACCCAGCTGATCTGGGAGGGCTATATGGCCCAGGTCAGCTTCCTTCCTCACGTGGGCTCCTGGCTCAGGCTCCACCAGGAAATGAGTTGCATGGCAGTTGCTGAAAGAAGCTTAATGTGCAGGGGGCCTGGAGGGAAGACAAGATTGCCTTGGAACCAGGCAAAAACCATCTTGTAGTCACTCATATACCCTCTCTTCTATACTGGCTGGAATGCAGGGTTTGAGACAGAAATCAATGGACTTTTGAGATGCAATTTTACCTGTGGGAAAAAGCACCATTGAAGACCCAGTGCTGTAGAGCAGGCACTAACCCCCAAACAATGCACCATAAAAGTTAATTAAAAATAGTGTTTGGGGATTAATAGCCTGAATATATAAAGATCTCTTACAGCTCAATAACCTTAAGCCCCAAAGAACCAATTCTTAAAATGAGTCAAAGATTTGAATAGATATTTCTGCAAGGAGGAGAAATACATGAACAGGGAGCAGATACTCAACAGCAATGGTCACCCAAGCCACAATGAGATGCCACTTCTCACTTGTTAGGATGGCTGTTACTTAAAAACAAAAGCAGAAAACAAGTCTTAGTGGGGGCAAAGAAAAATGGAACCCTCGTGCATTGCTAGTGGAAATGTAAAATGAGGCAGTTGCAACGGGAAACATTACAGCAGTTCAAAAAATACACCACAGAATTACCCCATGATCCAGCGATTCCACTTGCGGGTATATACACAAGAGATCCAAAAGCACAGCCCTTAAACAGGTCTCTGTCTGCCAGCACTCACAGCAGCAACAGTATTCACAAAAGACAGGAACAGCTCAGGTGACTACCAGTGGACTACAGTGTGACAGATAAATGTCAATGAATATTATTCTGCTGTGAAAAGGAAGGACATTCTCCATGTTGCAACACAGATGAACTTTGAGGACATTTTGCGAAGTGGAGTAAGCCAGTCACAGAAGGACTTACGTGAGGCACATAGTTGAATTCACAGGAACAGAAAGAAGGGTGGTTGTCCGGGGCTGCAGTGAGGAAAGATGGGGAGTCATTGTTTAATGAAGACGACATTTCTGTTTTGCAGGCTGAAGAATTTTGGGAATGGTTGATGGGGACGAAAGCACAGCAGAGCAGCTGCTCTTAACAGCCCAGACCATGTGCTCAAAATGGTTAAAATGGTAAACAGTGCATATGCTTTTACCAAAATAATCCACCAGCCTGTGTTTATTATCAACCTCATTGCACGAGAACCCTTGTTCAACTTTTAAAGTATTTATTTAAAAGGTTTTTTAATAAACATCTACTGGTTTCTAAGCCCCATGTTCAGTGCTAAGTGAGGGAAAAGAAAAGTCATGTCCTCTCAAGGACCTCGGACTTCAGTCAGGGGAAGAGAGGAAGGAGGTAAAGTGAGGTAAGGCAAGACACAGATTTTAATAACTGAAAGTTGCAGAATGGACTAGGAGCCTGACTATCCTTGGAGTGTCTATCCTCCAGAATTCATGTGTTGGCACCCATGTTTATCACAGCACTATTCACAATTGCCAAGCTATCAAGTCAGCCTAGTTGTCCAACAACCAATGAGTTAAGAAACTGTGGTATATATACACAATGGAGTATTATTCAGCCATAAAGAAGAATGAGATGTCATTTGCGGGGAAATGGATTGAACCGAAGATCATGTTGAGTGAGATAAGCCAAGTTCAAAAAGGCAAATAAATATGTAGAATCGAGACCTAAACTGGTACCAATGAGACATGAACATGACCAAGGTACATTACGTACGTGTGTGTGTGTGTGTGTGTATGAAGATAAAATAATCAAACCCACTAAATACTGTTTGAAAAGAGGGAAGGAGGAAGGGTTAAGGGAGCATAATAGAGAGGGTGAATCTGATCTGTACATATCTATGGAAATATCATAATAAAACCCCTTTGCAGAATTAATGTATGCTTAAAAAAAGGGAATTCATATGTTGGAAACTTAATCCCACAAGTCCTGTGTTCATGCTCATGGAGACTCCGCTGTCATGAATGAGCTCATTACTATCATGAGATAAGCTGGCCATCTGTCATGAGCCCCCTTTCCATGTGATCCCTTGTACCATCTTGGGACTCTGCAGAGAGTCTCTACTAGCAAGATGATAGTGCCATGCTCTTAGATTTCCAGGCCTCCAGAAAGGCAAGCTAAATAACCTTTATTATTTATAAATTACCCAGTGTATGGTATTTTGGTATAGCAATAGAAAATGGAGTAAAACAAGCCTTATCAAAAATATGTGCAATAGGACCTGGGCTTTAGAGAAAGGAAACAAACCCAAAACACATTAAACAGAAAACTAAAGGGATGAGGGGAAGATGGATTTAAAAACAACAGGCTTGGAAAGAGTTAAGAGTTAATTAATAGGCATGGAAAAGAAAAAAAAATGGCAACATAGAAAGTAGAGTAGGGAAAGGAAAAGGAAAAAGGAAAAAATCCTATTACAAATGAGACACTGTCTAAAATGGTTCTACAGTAAGGGAATTACTAAAATATAGAATTGAATCCACTATGAACCCTATGGACCACTAAGTACATTCAATGTTTGCCGAAATGTTGCTTTCCAGCAAAGTTCCACTTTGAGGAATATCCATTTTATTCACACCATGATGTTCTTCTCCACAACACATTAAGACGATTGCTAGAGACAACCTGGTGAGAGGTTCGGGTCAGTGTCTAGAAGGTCCAAGGGCAAATGAGTTCAAGAAGGAGACCTGGAAAGCAAAGGAAGCAGTGGGGAGGGATTTGGGGCTGAGGACCACTGCTCTTTGCTTCTGCATACCATGGGTTGTCCCAAATGTTCAACTTGACATTAAAAGAGAAGTTTCACTCACTCGAAATGCAGAAATATTTATTTTGGTTTCCTTCATTGTTTTTGGAAATTCTGTTTTGGTTTATAAAACATAGAAAGAGCCAATACTTAAAGCAAACATTCAAAACCCCAAGGTGACAAATTGTTGAATTTTTGTGCAATTAAGAATACATATATGAAGTTAGGCTACCAAATAGTGTTATTACCATGACAATTCTTTAGTGCAAACCCTGTTGTGCTTGTATGATACTCCTACTCTCACATATCCAACAACGGTGGCTTCCAGCGTGTCAGTCACAGCTCAATTCAGCCACAAGTAGCAAAGACTTGCAATAAAGAGAAATGCGGTTAGTTGTCACATTAACTTGTAAAAAATCCCTTGAGAAATTAATCCCAGGAAATGATTTTTTTTCCAGAGTTCTACAACCCAGAATTTTGGCTTGTCAAATACATTTCATAGAAATCAGGTAGTATTACGATATAAGAACATTTACTTATCACTGACCATTTCAATAAGTACCCAAGTATATCTACTTCCTTAATATTTTTGAAGACATGCTTTGCCTGAGAGTTTGTTTGGGGGGTAGGAAGCAAATTAATCACACCATCATTTGATATGAAAACCACATTAAAAGCCCATTGGCCATTACAAACAGTGAGAGGTTCACGAAGATCAAGTGGACAGCTCTTCAGGCATCACAGTTGATTCAGGTAACTCTTTCTTGAAATGCTGTCTTCACTGTAGAGTCTAAGGCAGGATTTTTCATAACCCCTTGGCCGGTGAGGGAGGGAGCCAGATCTGGAAGAGTTCCAGATCATCCTGCTGTGTGAGCAAGAAGCCTTTGGCTCTGACAGCCAGCCAGCCGTTCTTCAGAGACTTGGCACCTGCATTGTTCTGAGGTGGATCCATCCTTTGGTTTATTGGGAACCTTTTGTCCCTGTGGGAGCAATAGGGGACTGTTCTGAACCCTTACAAATCAGGAGGGTTGTGTGAGTGCACGTGAAATGGGGAAGGGAAGACAGCAGGGATTATAGAAGAACTCTCTGGTCTGCTTGTGAAATTCTCCAGCAGGGAACCTTGTTCTTGTTTTTAAGGGACAGCTTTCCTCCAGTGCACTGTACTCTTCAGAGCAGCAGACAGCTGCAGACATTGCAGCAAGTGGCAGACATCACAAAAATAGCAAAGTCCTAACGCCTTGGTTAGAAAAACAGGGAGACAGAAGTTTTAACACCCTACCTTATTAAATGAGGAAGTCTCAAATAACTTAGCACTTTTTATAGTTTCCCCTTTACAATTTTTAAGGCTCATTTTGGAAAGTGTACATCACCATGAACATGGTCTGCAACACGAGGAGACTGTAAGGCAGTGTTCCATTTCCTCTAATATTCCTGTGGCAAGACCCCAATGTACAAATCAAACACGATGTTTCCTTCCCTATGCTGCAGGCAAAGTTACCAAGGTGAAGGCCATCAGCAGGAGAAGGGATTGTGGAGGCGTGAGTTTCTTCTTGGCTTTCTTCCTCACCTTAAACCTTGATAGTGGAATATAGTTCATCTATCTGCGACCTGAAATAGTTCCGTAGCTCTGGCCTTTTTGCCTTCATTGTTGGAGTCAGAAGGCCATTGTCAACAGAAAATAATTCAGTATGTAGAGCAATGCCTTTGACCTGCAAACATCAAGGCTGTTAAAGGAGGAAAGCAGAAGGACACATGCAAGACAACCTAAAAAGTCTAAATAGCACATAAGCCCTCGGCAGGGATGAAGACCTGTATAGGCATCCAGCCTCTCACTTCAATCACTCTGTGCTCGCTCAGCAAAGGACAGGCATCCTATTGGGACAGAATTCAAGGTTGCATCCTGACCTCCAGGAAAAGAGGAGTTACACATCAGATATAAAACTCTCCCCTGTCAAACCACTCCATCATTCATTTCTCATGTATTTCTTAAGGCCACTTCACCCTCTTCTAGAATCTATTTGTAAAAAACCTACAAGTAGAAACAACAATTTATGCTCTTAGATGAAATTCATACCTGTTCAAATGTTTTTAGACCAGAATCCTTCCCGAGTCTCACCATGTCTTCCAGGATAGCTTTTTTGACATCCTAACAAATCAAGAAAAAAATCAGTGATCAAGAAAAAAATCAGTGTCCCTGTTGGTGGTCCCTGTATATATTCACAGGAACACTGAATGCAAAGTAGAGATGAGAAGATGGTCTGGACACTTTGGAGCCTTACCTTGTTTCTGCACAATTCTTCAAAGGATCCTTGAAATCCTTTCTTCTGGGCCCAGGAACATAAGATCTCAACATCTGGTACTACAATGGCTATAAGAAATGCCTTTAACACAAACAAGTGAATTACTACAGGGCCTGTTCCAAGTGCTCTCAAGTAGTGGTTCTTTATTTTCTATACCATGGACCCTGGAAGAACTGATGATAGCTATGGATCCTTTCTTGAGAATGTACTCCTGCTTCCCCACCCCACACTCTGGAGTTCACTAAAAATACAGATAGCATCAGGAATTTTAAAACTATTTTAAAAGAACCCCCAGGAGGGCTGGGTATGGTGGTTCATGCCTGTAATTCCAGCTTCTGCAGAGGCGAAGATGGAAGCATCTCAGTCCAAGGCCAGCTGGACTGAGACTCTATCCCAAAAAAACAAACTAAAAGTAAAAGGGCTAGGGAGTGGTTCAAATGCCAGAGCATTTGTGTAGCAAGTGAGTTCAATCCCTAGTACCAACCCCTCCCCAAAAAAACATTGGAAATTGATATCTAACAAAATCATAATTCTTATTTTTGTGTACAATTTTTAACAGGTATTTTATGAAAATAAAACAGGGCCAAATAAACAAAGAAGGGAACAGATATCAAACAATTGCTTTAAAAAAAAAGAAGAAAAAATGTATATAGAGTCCTTGTATAAAACTTAGTAACAATAAAATAAAACAATAATTGAAAACATGGTAATATTGTAGATAATAAAATAGGTATAATCTAAAAAATTAGGCACATTCTTTTATAAGAAAATATTCTTCCAAAATAATTTTCGAAACCTCAAGATTCATCAAAAGATTTTAACTTTCAGGAGACCAGGTCCTCTTTTCTTCCTTGCTACAGTGATAAACACTGTAGCAAATTTAATTTGGTTAAAATACTGATTTTGGTTTTCAACTCTGAATATGCTTAGCTCACAACTAAGATTTGCAAAAATATGATTTAGGGGGCATAACATAAATAAGCTAGGTTTACTGTTTGAAATTTTAAAATTTTTCCTATAATCCATATATCAATATTTTCTTTTATAATTAAATTAGAATCATCTATTACCAGCCTTTAGTGTCTTTATCCAACTACCACTGGTACACTAGACAATTCTAGTTAAGATTAAATCAAAGAAATGAAGAGAAAAAAACTTTTCTGAGTAGGAAATGCCAATAGTAAGTCAATTATATTCTAGCATGTCAGACATGAAGTCAGTGTACACTCACCTCCCACTGTAAATCTCACGTACAGCCCTCGGAGTACAAGACACACACAACGCATAACAGCACAGCCCAAAACCTAGGAAGCACATACCTGCAAGCTTTCTCCATGGACAAACACTTGAGCAACAGGCTCACTTCGCAGGTAGATATTTTCAATCTTTTCAGGTGCTATGTATTCTCCTTGTGCCAGCTTAAATATGTGCTTTTTCCTGTCAATAATCTTCAAGGTACCATTCTGTTTATCAGAGAGGAAGGAGCTATGAATGGGTCCCTGGCAGACTTCCACCCAGTGTCAATCACAGCACAGAACAAAGTGTTTTAGATGCACTATCTTTCAATCCTAGTCACAGCTTGTAGAGGCCACTCATCTTACAGAAAGGGAAACTAAGGCTTGGAGAGACTTAGTTGGAAAGACTTGGAGAGACTTGGAGTAACTTGTCCAAAGCCACTCACCCATGTACAGAGAAAAGAAGGGACTCCAGAGCCCATGCTCATCTGCCTTACCATGTGGCCCCAGTGACCTGTCAGCCAACCTGTGGTGCTTTGCTTGCTTCCTTTATTTTAGCCCCTTCCTCTAGTCCCCTATCTGTGTACATACCTGGCTCACAAAGTGATTCACGTTCTTTGAGAGTGAGGACACAGCCTTATCCTTCCACAGTGCTCTTGCAGAGTAAGGGCTTGAGAAATGTTTATCACATGAAAAAAATTTCATGTTTCCTTTGTCATTACTGGGGGAAGGGAGTGCTGTTCCCCGGACTTTGGGAAGGGTCAGTCAACCATCTCACATGTTAATAACTATAGGAATGTCAGCTAGCCCATACATCAAAGCACAGCACAGTGTCTTTGGGTTTCAAACAAGAAGTAGCAAGCAAAATTGATTTTAGGAATCCAGACAAAACCATATTTGCTACAGTTAAAATCCCAACCAAGAATAAGAGAATAAACCTGTCTCCTTCAGGAAATGCAATGGTCTACACGATACATTCAATAAGGAGGAAGGCAAAGAGAAAATGTGGGTGCCACTGCCACATGGCAGCTGTATGGCAGGCTGGACATTTTCCTCCCTACAGTGTAACAAAGCTGTTTGTTAACAGAGCAGGCAACTACTTACGGGTAGCCACTTCCCAATGTCCCCTGTGTGTAACCAGCCATCTTTATCTAAGGCTTCTGCTGTTTTTCCTGGTTCCTTTAAGTAGCCCTTAAATACATTTGGCCCTTTCACACATATCTAAAAAAAGAAAAAAGACTGTTTGTTAATAGCATTTACTGGGGATTCTCAAAAAAAAAAAAAATCTGTGTGTGTGTGTGTGTGTGTGTGTGTGTGTGAGATTGTCTCTTCCAACCTTGAGCCAGAAGCCCTGAATTCAATGATCCAGTGGGAGGTACGAGAGCCCCATGGGATCTGGGAGGCACCACCAATGCCCCCACTTCCCTCTCTGACTTATGCCAGCTGCAGTCAAATTGTAGGGTTAATGTTTACACTAGGTTCTGGCTCAAAACAGCTGGAAAGCCCCAAAGGGGATGAAATCACTTTTAAGTAACCAGGCTTTCCATCCAGTAGACAGCAGCTTACTAACAGGTAGCCAGAGCCATTAGCAGACAGGAGACGAACCCTCAGGACTGAGGCCACTGGTGCTTGAACCCAAGCCCAGCGGAGGGCAGGCTTTAGGGCCCCTCCCCCATCCCTTCAAGTGTTAAACACAAAGATACCTTCAAAAAGAAGCCTATGTGACTCTGAAATCATCAATAATGTCAAACGCAATAGCTGTTCTGGGCGGTGTCTAGAACTGACACCTCGCTCATAATGGCCAACTATTATAGGAAACATGGCCGTGGTCAATGACTAATGGGCTTTCACTCACCTCGCCCTCGCCCTTGGCAGCCAAGTAATTCATTTCTTCCACATCAACAAGTTTTATAAAATTGCAAGGCATGGGGGCACCAACGTGGCCTGTGTATTAAATAAGAGAATGATCACTCCTAAGGGCACTATAATGTCCTCAGGCCAAAGTGGGTTTTTTTTGTAACAAACAAGCCTTCTCATAGTAACAGCTGCTATAAACTTCTGGCTTCTGCATATAACCACTCTCTCCCTGGTAAAATAATTTAAGAAAGTTTCTTCCTAGGAGAGAGATGGAAATATTCAATTCATTTCATGACCTTTCCCAAATCTGAGGCTCTGGATTATTTTCAGAGCATAAATATATTAGCTGCTGATTTTAAGGGTTAGTAAAAATACTTGTAAGCATACTTTCTATAAGTTTTACCTGGCTTCTAGAACCTGACTAACACCACTTATCATTCACCCTCACCTCCACCTCCACCCCAGACTTCTTGATACCATTATTCTGAGAACACATAGACAGCACATTTTAATTATTCTCTTACACACCAAATAAAAGACCCTTTTATTTCCTTAAGCATGGGTGGAGCAGGTTTTACATTTAAGCTTATTTAAGATAGAACATTGCTTATACCCAGTCAACACTGGGTTCTCTTTTCCAAAAACAACGGTCACTCTGTGACCATCACAAAAAATTATTCCTATGTTTCAACAATTCTAACATACAGAGATCCCTATCCTCAAATGTCTGACTGCTAAGGAATCTGAGGTTAAAAATTAAACCAACGCCATGAAGAATTCATAGACTGTTAGCATTAGTTCCAGCAGAATTACACTATTAGATTATGCTAGATGCTAGTATCTGTGATACTAGCTGGTGCTAATATTTATAACGCACCAAATAAGCTTAGGGAAACTTACTGTAGACAAGAATATATTACCTCTGTGGCATAGAGATAATCAAAAAGGCACTGCAATCCAACCTGGGTTGGAATCCCAGCACCAAAGCATAGCATTATACAGGTTCTTCTCCATTATTTATGTGCGATTTAGCAACAATCTGATTTCTGTATAAATATATCCTTACTCTGGCATAAAGGGCCTCCTCTCTCAGATGCTGTTGTTAAGGTCCCAGCAACTCCATACCACCACCCTGCATTCCAGTCAGATCCCCAAAATGCCATCACACTCAGCCACAGGTCCATTTTTCGCCCAGTCCATGCAATTGTAAGATGGTTTGCTCCTAGGCTTAATTACTAAAGGTGGTTAATGAATCAATCAATGATTATCCCAGTTCTAATCATTCCAATAACCTAAGCCAGTTGTACCTGCCGTCCAGTCTCCAGGAGTACTCAGGCAACAACCAGCAGTGCATTCAGTCTGTCCGTAGCCTTCGTAGAACTGGGGCAGCAAGAGATGGGATGTTACTAACAGGAGACAGAAAGACCCCCACACCTTTGCAAGAAGTACACAAGTTGCACTAACTCCTGCAAAGTCATGGGCTGTGAAGTCTTTAAATTTTCTGATCAGTAAGTTTACTCAACTGTACAACATACACCCAAATATCTTCACCCTCATATCAAACACCAGTGTCGTCCATGTGGTTTTCTACTCAACTTCCTGCAGACAAGCAAGGGAGAACGGCCACAGGATGGTCACAACCCACCTGGGAGTACACTTGCTTTGTCAGTTCCACGGTTTTACACTGCGTATGTCCTAACCGTCACCAACGTCCCCAGTCCCCTTTAAAATAGGTTCTGAGCATGGGTTGCAGGTAGGTTTATCACTTAAGACCCATCCCATTCCTGCATGGCTGACACTTAGAGGTATGGCTTGTGCTTTACCCCTACAGAAAAGTGGCAATAAACACATACTTCCCGCCAAGGGTAAAACATATATTTGCTCATTTCTCCAAGCAACCTGTAATAACATATCTTCCAAACAAAATGGGGTATATGGGGAGGATTACGAAGACCTTGGTCAATGGACACAAAATTTCGGTTAGGAGGAATAAGCTCAAGTGATCTATTGTGCAACATGGGGACTACAGTTATAACGACAATGTACTGTGTGCTTGACAGTGTCTAAGAGAGTAGATTCTAAGTGTTCTCACCACCCATAAAAAATGATAAGTACATGAGGTGGCCTGTGTGTCAATTAGCTGGATCTAGCCATTACACAACATATTCTTAAATCACTACATTGTGTTGTGTTCCAAAAATACATACAATTTTTTGTCAATTAAAAAAGTTCACATACATCATCACTCTAAATCTTGGAATAATCCAGGGAAATAAAGTCTTCCTCACCTGACAGCCGAGAGCTGCTCTCAGAAACGTCAGCACCGTGGCGGATACTGGGGCAGCTCCTGTGACCATCAACCGGACTTTTCCACCCAGACTTGACTTGCGAGAGAGGAAGAGATGTAGAGGGTTACAAACATGGAAGTCAGTGGGATCCTCAGTCAAAGACACCTACTTGGGACCCTGTGCCCTCCTCTACCAGTTCCTCTGTAGGTGGCACTGGACAGGACTCAGGGATGAGATTCACACTCAGGACAGAAAACTCTCAGGTGTTCACAACAGAAACACAGAACTGGAGCTTGTTTCCACCCACAGCTGCCCCATTCATTCCCAGCAGTTATGGAACTAAGCCAGCACCTCTGCTTGCAGGTATTGTAGGGAATTAAAACAAGAGTGTGTTGGATTTGTACCCACTACCACAGTTTTGGTATTCTGGATGGACATAATATTACTAAACACTCTTTATTAACATTATTGAACATTCTTTATTCCTCATACTTAAAAAATTACTTCAAGAGTGACATACTTGTTCCAGAAAAGACAAATAAAAAGAATTAGAAAGGCTAAAATACCCTGAACTCTTCCCATATTGATGGCTACGTTATTCAGACGTACTTGGAGAACAAGGTTTATTTAATGCCATTGTCTTTAACACAGCCTTTAATTTCTAGACATATGCCAGAATGAATAAAACCATTTCACTCTCTCCTTTATCTTCTCTCTCTCTTTTTTTCAAATACCCTCACAGGAATCTTGAAGCACAAATGAGCCCGCGTGAGCAACACTAGCGTGCGTCTCGGCTACCTGTATCTTGTGGAAGATGAGTTTATCCCACAGGCTGTTGTTCCTAATGACACCGCTGCGAAGCTCTGCTTCTTTCCTCTTGGAGGCAAAGTCCAACAGCCACCGCTTCACTGTGGTGTTTGCTTGTGCAAAAATCTAATGAGGCAAGAAGTAAGAATAGGATGGTTACAAGAAAGTCATGTAATAACAAGTGTTGGTGAGAAATAAACCCTTACATACCACAGGTGGAGATGTAAAACAGTGCAGCTCATTTGGAAAACCACCTGGCAGCTCCTCTATCAGTTAAGCATAGTCATCCAATGACTCAGTGATTCCTCTCTAGTTATACACCCAGCAGAAGTGAAAACATACGTCCACACAGAAATGTGCACACTATTGTCCAAGGCAGCATTATTTATAAGAGTCACAAGCTGGAACAACCCAAGTTACCATCAATGGCTAAATCTGTGTTATACCCATAAGGTAGAATATTATTTGGTTATTTAAAGGAATGAAGTGCTGATACAGGCTACCTGAATGAGGCTTGAAAGCACACCAATGAAAGAAGCCATCAAGAAGGAACACATATTCCATGACTGCATTCATAAGAAAGTCCAGAGTAAAGAAATCAATAGATTTAGAAGGTAGAGCAATGGTTGCTTAAGAGCTGAAGAATACAGGAGGATAGAGGGTTATAACTAATGAGTAGGTGAACAGTTTCTTATTGAGGTGATGAAAATGTTCTAAAATTGACTGTGGTGATGGTTGCAGAACTGTGTGAAAGTACTAAAAATCTTTGAATTGTACACTTATTTTTTGTTGCTGGGGGATTGAACCCAGAACCTCGCTCATGCTAAGTGTGTACTCTGCCATTGAGGTATGCCTGCCAGCTCCTGAACTATATACTTTAAATGGGTAAATTGCATGGTATGTGAATGATATCGTAACAAAGCTCTCTGAAAAAGATTTTTAGAGGTCAGGCACCGGTGACTCACACCTATAATCCAGCTACTTGGGAGGCTAAGATTGGGAGGATCACGATCTCCAAAAATAACTAGAGCAAAATGGACTGGAGGCATGGTTCAAGCAGTAGAGTGCCTGCTTTGCAAGCATGAAGCCCTGAATTCAAACCCCAGTCCTGCCAAAAATTTTTTTATTAAAAAAATAAGATGGTTCTGAGCGGTGACAGAGGCCCTGACTCAAAGACTGTTCACACTGCTCAATCAAACTTCACTTTAGAGACTGCTCATGCCATTTCCTGGTCTTGCCCAGCTACAAGGTCCATGCCGTGATGACCACCATAGAGGGCTTGCATCGTCTCGGTCTCCCCTTTAGCTGTGTCATTTCTCAACGTGGCTAAGTAAGTAATGCTTCACATATGCATGCAGCTTTTCAATTAATGAAAGCATTTCATAGTTATAATTTTTGTGTGATCCAATTAGCATCTTTATGAGATAGGAAGCAGGTAAAAAGAGGTTTTATAGATGAGAAATTATCTGTTTTATAGGTGAGAAATTAGAGGATCAAACACTTTACTGTAAAAATAAAATGACCTCCCACCTTACCTATGTAAACCTACGGTTTACAAAGCATGTTATGTGCATGCGTGTTTTCTCTTACAATCTTTACCAACAGCATTTTAATTTTACAGAGGAGTAAACTGAAGTTCTGGAAGGGCAAGAAGACTGTCCATGTCGTATAAATGGTATGTGGCTGACCACTAGTCAGACCCAAGCTTCTGACTCAAAGTCCAGCATTCTGCCACAAGCTTTGCCTCTGGGAACTTACTCGGTCAAACATCCGATTCAGCAGTCTTGGAACCACAGGGAAGACTGTGGGTTGAAGCACCTTGAGGTCATCCATAAGCAGCCTGATATCTCCTTGGAAAAATCCTATTCTAGCTCCATGGCACAGCATCACACACTGCAGGGGTCAAGAGACACACAAACACTTCATCACTGCAGCAGGGTTACACCACATACAGAGAGGCGACACATGAGACTTCAGGACTATGTTTCAAGTTAGTTTCCAGAAATCTTAAGTTTCTAAATGTAAGGGGCTTATAAAGATTTTTGCAGCCAGGTGCCAGTGGCTCACACCTGTAATCCTAACTAATTAGGAGGTAGAGATCAGGAGGATCATGGTTCGAAGCCAGCCCCAGGCAAATGGTTTGCAAGACCCTATCTCAAAAAAAAAAAAAAATCACAAAAAAGGGTTGGTGGAGTGGCTCAAGTGGTAAGAGCACCTCCCTAGCAAGCATGAGTCCCTGAATTAAAACCAAAGTGCCACACACACACACACACACACACAAAAACTTTTGCATTTACCAGTCAGGCAGGGTACAAACAACATGGAAATATATTTCTTTTGACCATCCAGAAGTTAGCATGAAACTAAGATGTACTGGTTTTTTGAGGGTTTGTTTTTGTTTGGCAGTACTGGGGTTTGAACTCAGGGCCTCTCACTTGTTAGGCAAATGCTCTACCACTTTAGCCATACCCCTAGCCCTTCTTGCTTTAGTTATTTTTCAAATAGAGTCTCGAATTTATTTGAGGCCAGCCTGGACAAGATCCTCCCATCTACACTGCCTGCATAGCTGGGATGACAGGTGTGTGCCACCTTGTCTAGTTTTTATTGGTGAGATTGGTTCTCATGAACTTTTTGCCCAGGCTGGCCTTGATCTTCCTGATCTCCACTTCCCAAGGAGCTAAGATTACATGCGTAAGCCCCCATGCCAAGCAGATGTATCGTTTCTAATGATGATCAGAATCTATTTTTGCTTAATGATAAACATCTTTCGAGTAAATTACATGTTCTTACATACTTCAAATATTTTTAGACTTCCAGAAAATGTAGGGCTAATTTATTCTCAAAATAAAAACTTGACTACTTGGTTCCCCTCTAGGCTTCTTGAAATCTCATTTCCTTTTATTTGAACCTAACTAAAAATTCCTGTAATGACACTGAGCTGAAGTGTCATTATACAAGTGTCATTGCTAAAGTCAAGGCAACGGGATCTCTACTACCAGAATGACTTGCCGTGTAGTTCCAATACACTGCATGAATTTTCCCCTGTCTAGGACCAAACTGCACTAGTATGCCAGATGGACTTGACAAGTAGTCAGCCTACTTTAATTTTTTTTTTTAAAGATTCAAAAGATGATGCAATAGGTACAAACTACATGAAAGCAAAACCACTAGAAAAGTACGCATGGTTCACTATTGAAGAGTTAAAGCCCAGGAGGCTTTTGTTCAGTGTGGCCTCCCTTCTGGGCACCTCTTTGGTGCATATCATCTACTGGCAATACATCTAAGTTCACCTTATAAACTCACAAGGTCCTGAAGTGTTCAAGAAGCAGAATAACAAATAGAAAATGGGATCTGATGATCCTTTGGGGTCAAGCAAATCCTACAGGGCAGCAGCCAAACAAAGGGTTGGGCTCTCTACAGTCTCTCTTAGTCTATTATCTGTCTTAACTCCCAGCACAGTGCTTGTCACACAGCTGGTGTTTAATAAACACTCAATAATGAATGAATGGTGCCCCACTGGTATAACTTCCAAAACTGTTTTAAGAAAAAAAAAAAAAAAAGATGGTTCTTGGTTATTTTTTTCAATTAGCTGCCAGTTGTGGACAAGGTGCCCAGGTAGAGGTCAAATGAACATCATTCTAAGGGCACTTAAATATTGGTGAAAAGTTAGTCTTCGGTCAACTTGTGCATTAGGAATAAGCACAACCAAAAGAAACCTCACTAGGCTTTGTCAGACTGAATGAATAAAAATCTTCCTTTTACAGTAAATCTTTCTGCAACCATGTCCACAGGAGTACCCTTCAAAAGTTTAAGTTCCTCATTTAGAAATGAAGTACCCAGTTTAGACCACCCCCCTACTAAAAAAAAAAAAAAAAAAGAATCTATATTCTAATAATTTCTGCCATTGTTAAAATGGAACTTAAGAAGTGCCTATGAGGGTGACGATCTGCATCCACACTTACCAGCATCATCTGTTCAAACATGTGTGCAAGTGGTAAATAGGAAATTTGTGTGTCACTTTCATTCACGACAATTACTTTCTGCAAAACACAACAACTTAGCAGAGCACAAACAATAATGCAATCAGGAAAAACATAACCAATGCCTACCTCTACAACTGTCTCAAACATATGGGCAAGAGGCAAGAAAGATATCAAAACGTCACTTGGGGAAGGGCTGATCGCACCCTGAAAGCAAAGACACCAGTGAGGCAGAGAAGCGTTAGAATGCCAGGAATTTCCCATTTTCTTTCAGAGCACATGGTAACTCAACACTGAGCAAAGTCCACTTTTAGTCTGCAATATTCCATTTCAAAGAATGAAATGAAAAACAACACTTTGTTTTGTGGTGCTGGGGATTGAACCGAGAGCCTTGCTCATGCTAAGCTTGTGCTCTACCCAGTCCCAAAGGCAGTATTTTATTCGAATTCAGAGGTCATTCCAAATAACAAAGTACATCTACTTCAAGAATTATTTCTTTTGTAAGGAAAATTTTGGCCCAGTTGGAATGTTAAGGGATCATGTGCTCTATTTACTTAGTATTCTAGAGTTATAGCACCCTTTTAGTTGGCAAGTACAACCCACCTGAAGAAATGCAAGAGTTACTCCACCATAACATAACATAGCATGTTATGTTGCTAAGGGAAGAGGGAGAAGCTAAGATTCCTAAGGCCCCTTTCATGTAGAGTATTTGAGTTTGATCAACATTTTTACCTTAAAGTCTTACTTTACCCCCAGGAAAATATGCTAATTTGTTTAGTGTAACCTCAGATCTGGCACCAGGGGTTTTGATCTTCTATAAAATTCTGATCATGATGAATCTCAAGGCGGATTAAATGTGGATGTCTGGTTTCCTCCAGAGCAGGCCTTACTTAGCAGCAGGTACAGTGAAGGTTTGCATAGAATGTTCACATCATTAGCAAAAAGAATTCTTGCCAACAGCATCTGCTGCTAGACCAATTCAAAAATGATGACAGGAGAAAAGGATGAACTCGCTTCTAAGTCACACCTTCCTCCCTCCTAAGGCTGGGTCATACTTAGTAGTAATGTGGCAACAGGTGAAAATATCATTCCTGGGCAAACATAGCGGCCCTAGGAACACTGGATGTAGGTTAGCAGACCATAATTGTAGCTTAATTCTCATCAAGTGTGAACTGCATCCCAACAAGTATTTCTTTTCTGCTGTCTATATTGGGATTTGAACTCAGGGCCTCATACCTGCCAGGTAAGTACTTTACTACCTGACATATGTTTTCAGCCTTGAACTTGTATTTTTTACTATGAAACTGTCACACAGTGAGAAATCAAACTCAGTAATAACCCTTTTTTATTTTTTTTAGCACTGAGGTTGGAACCTTGGGCATGCACTGAAAGTATACTCTCTACCTCTGAGAAACATCTCCCAGCACCCACACATTTTAATTTTCTGGTTTAATATAAAATAAAATGTCCACTCTCAAGATTCACAAAATTGAGAATGTCCCTTCATAGTATAACTGATTTTAAATAAAGTTCTGTGATCATTTTCTTCAATAAGCACCAAAGACATTTTGAGGTATCTTTGAGGGCCTATCATGAAATTAAAATTTCACTTTGGTAAGGTATTAAATGTTGAACTCTATTTATAAAGCATTATACCAAAAAAAAAAAAAAAAGATATTTGGGCTTATGGAAGCAAGTGTGTAGTAAAATCAAGAGGCAAGACACTTGAAGATCACCCTTCTATAGCTGCCAAAGATTTCCACTCCCCCAAACCATTAAGCACAGGCTTCTGCCACAAAAATCGGGTTACAGAATACTCCCAAGATACTGTGAAAGCAAGATGTGTTAAATACTAATGAGTATGGGGAAAGGCATTGCTCAATAAGCACCTTTATAAGGACAAGTGTGAAATATATCCTCCCAAATTCAAATGTTGAATTCTTAACCCCCATGTATTTGGAGGTAGGGCCCTGAGGTAAATATATTTGGGAGTGGACACTGAGTCCAATAGAACTAGTGTCTCATAAGAAGATGAAAAGACACCAGAGTTCTCTGTCCGAGCATGCACAGAGGAGGAGCCATGTGAGTACCCAGAGAGAAGGAGGCTATCTGCAAACCAGAAAGAGAGCCCTCACCAGGAACCAACTTTGCTGGCAGCTGATTCTGGACTTTCAGTCTCCTGAACTGGGAGAAAACAATGTTTGTTGTTTAAGGCACCCAGACTCTGGTACTTTGTTATAGAAACCCAGGCAGAGAGAGACCTGTGGGTATCAAACTTTAAGATTACAGAAAATAAATTAGAGCACTGAGGATTTACTCATTCTCACACAAATGGAGTCAAACTGACCAACATAAGTAATAATAATTCAAAAACCTTCAGCAATCTTTAACATTTCATTGCTAACTTAAGTAAATTATTTTCCCAGTACTGGACTAGTAGATAAAAGGATAGAAAGTCATCTTTCCTTTGTCCTTTCCTGAAAATATTTACAGAACATCATCCAAATAGTTTCACTATATAAAAGATGCAGTACATTCCATCTGCCAGTTCGTCTTAATAATGGTCCCAAGCAGGAGCTAGAGACTAGGTCCACAATAAAAACCATTTGACAGAAGGTGGCCTTTGGCCATAAAAAAGTTCAGACCTCATCTACATTTCAGATAGTGTTCTTATAGGCAACCCAGACCTAACTTGGGAGACTGCCTTTCCCACTTTCATTCTTGAAGCCTAAAGCCAGTCAATGAATATGAAGAAAGATGATATCCCCATCCCCAAGTTACCTCTGTTGCTTTCACAAAAGCTGAACAATCGCTCACTACATTTCGGTGAGTGATCATTGCTCCTTTGGGGTTGCCTGCAGAGTACACATGAAACAGAACAAAATTAAAGACACTCCATAAAAGAATGTCAGAAACTCCGTATAATTAGTCTCAAACACTTCTACTGGGTAGCCAAATGTTGAGTAACATTACATTCCTAAACAACCTTCAATCCTTTCAATGAAACTTAATTATCTTAAACAATCTTCCTCAATGGGGCAAATTTTAGAGGGATGCATATCAATAGGAGAAGCAGCACCAGGAATTCTAACAATTTGCCCAGAAGGGTGAATCTAATGTCATCATCAATAAATGTTTCAGCAAACACATGGCCCTCTTGGTTCCGAGAGGATCTTACAGAACAACAAGAACACAGCACTTGAATCTCTGTTCCTCTTGCTTTCCTTCCACCCACCTAGAATTAGCTAGCTTGCTACCCAGAGAGTACAGACTTCCAATACCACTTAGAAGCAATTTCATCTCAAAATTTACCTGTAGTTCCACTTGTGAAACAAATTATTGCAAGATCTTCAGATGCTGGAGGCTGAAGAAGATTACATTTTTAAAAATGGCATACATTAAAACAGAAAAATGTAAGCCCAAAAATATCACCCCAAATTTCTAAAAGTCTCCAATATGACCAGACATTGAAAACAGAGGACTATGTAGGGTCTTCCACAGAACACTTACCCTGGGCTTCCTTCTGTTAGCTCTTCCAAGGTCCTTAACAAGAAGAGAAAAAAATGCCTTAAGTGGAAATGTTTTCTAACTGTAAAGAGTACGTTCACATCAACTCACTTAACGCCGCCTTTGCTGTGGGAAAGTCAGCTTAAAGCATCGTTTTAAATTAAGCGAACTATAGCCATTTTAATTTACCTGAGCCAAAATAGTTATCCACTGTTCTAAGAAGCCATTTTACAGTTATCTCCTCTCATCAAAATGATGTCAATGGTATTACGGCTGGCCTCTGAAATAAATAGAGTTTATTTCTGGTCCCCACTTCCATTTCTCTGTTATGGCTTTAACAAAGCCCTGCTCTTAGCCTTCAGCAGGGAGCTGCTATCCTTGGCACCCCCAGAGTCAGAATGCAGCACTACCTGACCACCCCACTCTGTGTGACATCTTCCCTCAGGAGAAAATCCAACCTCTGCCAGATTTAACTGCTGGTCACCGAGACAGGCTCAAGTATCTGTTCTCCCCATCAGACTAGACAGAAGCTTTGTGAGCTTCCAATCACAAGGCAGGCCACAATAGAAGATCTCAGACCACGTCCCGAATGGGTGGTAAGGTTCAGGAAAACATGATCACTCCAGTGCAGCAGTTCCAACGCAGCTCACAATGACTACCACTGGCATGGCTCAGTTTACTGCACCAAGCCACTTTCATATCCATTAATTTTTAAAAAACAAACTACTTTCTTTTCCTATTAAAATGGAGCAGCTTGAGCGAGCATATGGAGTAGGCATGCCTACGATACAATGGAAATTAGACGGGCTTGCTCACGGCTGTGTGAGCTTTGCCTGCCACATAGTCTTAAACAGCTTTTAATCTTAATCACATTTTAAATGACAAATGTGACAGCCCACTGATTAGAAACAGGAACACTGATGTCCAGTTAGTCGCTGACTGGTGCTGTGTGCTAGTCTTTGTAATCCTAGCACTCAGGAAGCTGAGGTAGGAGGATTACTTGAGCCCAGGGGTTCAAGACCAGCCTGGGCGACATAGAAAGACTATCAGAAAAAAGAAAAGAAGAAAAAAAAAAAAAGCCAACTATAACAGTTAAAGCAATGATAATTCTGTGTTTTTCAAAATAATCTTTATGAGCTCTAAATTTTTACTTAATCTGAATTTCTTTCATAACTTCTGAAGATTTTTTTCAATTCTTCAAACTAATGTTACATAAAATAAAGCAATAGTTAATATGTAATTTGCTTTTAATTTGGGGGAACAAACACTATCTAAATTAGTGTGCTATTTGCCGTGAAAGTTTCACAGTTTTCAATCTGTCTTTTAGAAAAAAATACAATTACAAAAAAAAAGTCACCATTTTAAGGTTAAAAACATCCTATGAATAAAGCTGAGTTCTAATTGATATTAAGTATATTGACGTATTTAAGAGTAATGAAATCTGTAACCTACTGAAAATGCATTAAAAAATAAGATGGACTGATGAATGAATACAGAGGTAGAACGATAGATTAATATGTGATAAAGCAAATACAATAAAATTTTAATTGTGCACTCTTGGTGATGGGAACATGGCTAACTACTTATAACTCTTTCAACTGTTCATATGCTTGAAATTTTTCAAAATTAAAATACTAAAGAAATGCAAACCTTCCAAATACCAATGCTTCTATTTTTGATCCTTTAAAAAATATATGTTAATATAAACTTAATTCCACAATCAACCATAATGCTAATTTTAAATTCATTTTATTTCTTCAGATTTCACCTTTTTCTCATAAAATTTTAAAAAGCGTTAAGTCATATGAAGTAGGCAAGTGTAAAATAAAGTCTCATACATTATTATTTTAATATAAAGTTTATATATCAATCACTGATTGAAGTAATATTTTAATTTTCTGATTATTTATTATTCAGCAAAGTGACAAAAAAAACCCTCCTGTGTGTGTGTGTGTGTGTGTGTGTGTGTGTGTGTGTGTGTATCTGTCTGTCTGTCAGTCTTCAGGGAGGGGAGGGGAGTAGGAAGGCTGGGGAAGGATTGCATTATCATGAAAGGGGATTATAGGTGAAAAAACAAAAGTGGAGGAAGTGAAGAGCTAGCTTTCTAAAACCCCAATCCAACAGAGAGCTATAGCCTTTAACAGGCCTGGCGTCATACCACCATGTGTGCACACGTGCATGAGGCAGAGGCTGTTAGAGCCATGATTTTCCCTTTGACTACTAGTTGGTTTTGGAAAGGTTTACAGATCCTTACTTGTACCACAAATTCTTTATAGAAGAAAGAGAACTTATAAAAAAAAAACAAACTTTATAAACCTATTTATAGCAGCTTCATAAAAATATTTATAACTAAATATTATAAGTCAGAAATAACCTGACTTACGCTATTTAGTCTCCTTTTTCTGTGATGTGGATATAAAGATTCTCCTTTCTTGAATTCTAATTCAAGCCTGACTGTGGGGGAGGGGCTCAGCTCACGTGGACCACACTCATTCTCCTATATGACTACCTTTAAAGGTGGCCTTACTGTGAATCTTAAATCCAATGTGAAAAAAAAAAGCCAAATCAAAGATCTACACTGAAAATTCACCAAGACTACAAACGAAGCCTGAAAAAAAGGAAGATGAGGCAGATTTCTTTATCCGACTTGGTTTTTAGAGACAAATCAGTGCTGTTTGACATTCAAACCCAAAGAAGACACATACAAACTTAAAATTTCCAGTTCTGGCATTAATTGGCATTGTTCCCAGCCTCTGGAATAAATACGAGCACACCCTCCCCCACTCACTTTATTAGCAAGGACTTCTGCAAGACATTAACACTAGGTAGGCACAGAGAAGGGAATTTCTGCCCTGTGTCTGCTAAGATGACTGGCCGCTCTTGGGTTACACGGAGGCAATTTCAGGGGCCATGTCTGGCCCTTCAGAGAGTAGGCTGAGTGGGATGACTCACCTCTATGGCTCTCATGCTGATGATTTCCACTCCACACTTCTTGCCTCGTTCCACCAGCTCACTGCCGTACGTGTCCATGACAACTATGATTTTAAGGCCCGGTGTTAACTTATTTTCTACACCCTCTAGCAAGAGTCTGGCCTTCTCTGACTTGTCAGCAAAAATCACAGTGAGTTCAGCTGCAAATGAAGAGAAGATGGAGAATGAACTCTGGGATGTGAAAAGCTTAGTATCTGACACAAGGATACTGTCAGTGCTGCGTTCTTGGAATAGAAAGGTAGATGCATATTTAAGTTTAAATCCCTATCCAATCAGACACGCAAACGTGAAGTCAGTGAATCTAAGCAATAACTAGGTCAACACCCACCCAAAGATCACAGACGTACCTTTGTTGACTATGTACGTGATAGCTTCAGTTCCGAGGGTGTCATAAAGCGGAACCACCACCATTGAGTAAGTGAAACATGCTTGCTCAACAATCACCCACTCCACGATAAAGGCCGGGGAGAGAAAACGAGACGTCATGTCAGAACCACTTCAAGGACAGCACTCTGAGATTCACACAGAAAACACTGATGTGGGAAAATGAACATTTGTGTATCTCCTACCTATGGAGGCGAATGAGGGATTCGTAATGGAGACAAAATCCTTGACCCATTCTTAAAAAGGAATTGTAATTTGCCTGAAGAACAGAGGCGACTAAATGGAAAGAGCATTAACGATGCAAGACCACGCCGGCTTCGGAGATGGAGAGCTCACTGTGGGCTCCAGACAGTTACAGATGCCTTTGTGGGGACATACCTGAGTTTGTCCTTGGCAAGAATAGCACAATTTGGTGGGGAGGGGTGGGCAGGGGATTCCAACAGAGGGGTGCATGAGTCAAGGCTGGGAGGAGGTCTGAGCAATCCAGCTGGCAGGGAGGGTGGGGCGTGTGGTCCCCTCCACAGCCAATACAGAGCCACAGAGGGGTTCAAGGGAGGTGAATCCTGTGGCACTGTATAGGATGACCTGAGAACAGGGGAAGGAGGGTACTTATTTATCTAATAAGATCTCGGAGGAAAAGTGAAAAGGAAAGAAGTGATAGAGCAACTGGTCACCTGGCTACTGCAGCAGCCAACTTGGTTACCAGACCAATGTGGCGGGTCACTTTTACACTGACAATCCCTGGGGGCTGGCAAATGCCCATCCTCAGCAGCACTCTTCAAATGATACTGTCTGCAGGACTCTGACCACAGACCAGAAAAAGATTCAGCTGCCGTAGGAAGGAAGCACAAGCGTCATACTCACTTGGGGAGGGGGTGCGGGGAGGGTGGCTCTGGGTGCTTTTGATTTTTGCTTTTCTTGGAACAGATTTTAAGTTTCCATCATGGGGTCGGGGCTGAGCACCTCAGCAGGCCCTCTGTTCCTGCCCCTTCCCCCGTCACTCCACACTCAGCCACTGTAAAATGCCCATTCCTTGATACAGGTGCACTATGTGACATGAATGTGTGTTGCTCCTGGCATTCCCTTGGCCTCCCCACCACTATTTCCTTCAAGGCATCTCCTCCAGGAAGCCCTCCTTGGCTGAGCTCCCATAATCCTCTGTCCTGTACCACGTTACCAAGAAAGCTACATATTTGGGTCTGTCTTCCTTCACGTGGCACCTCAGGGGGAAGACCCAAGTTACAATGTGCCGAAATGCCACGCACAGTGTCTGGCATACAGCAGGTGGCTTAATAAACAGATACTGAACCAACTCAAGAATATAGGAAGGAATCTGCTCCTTGCAGTAAGGAGTATGACTCGTGTTTACATATTCATGGTAAAATTCCACTAAAGCAAAAATTTTGTATGTGTTCATTTGGAATGAAAGAAAGCAAATTCCACAGCCAGCTGTGGAGGAAGCTGTTTTCCTTTTAGCAGAACAGGAAACTCTAAGAAGCCATTCTGATTTATAAAATAGGAAGATACACGGGGATGTAACCAAGATGTCTTTGTGGACATGAGCAGGCAGAAGAAAACATCTGACTTCTTTCAGGCAGGTGCTCAAGCTTTTCCAAGGCAGCTGTGCTGCTAAGCGTGAAGGACACCGTGAGCACTGCCTCTTGGGGAGAGACTCTCATTTCATTCCCTTTCACACAAGTGTTCCCCAAAGTGCCAGGCCGGGCCTAAACAGCCAAGTAACGGGCTGCGTGCACACCAAGGTGACCGCATGGGAGGCCCTTCTCTACTGCCCACAGTATTTTACTCACTTATTTTTATTTGAAAATTCTTTTGGCAGCACTGTGGGGTTTGAACTCAGGGTCTCATGCTTGCTAAGCAGATGCTCTATCACTTGAGCTACACCTCCAGCCCTTTTTGCTTTCATTTATTTTTCAGGTAGGGTCTCACTTTTGCCCAGGGCTGTTCCAGGACCATGAGCCTCCTCCTACCTATGCCTGGGTATGGCTCGCCATGCCCAGTTTGTTTGTTGAGATGGGGTCTTGCTAACTTTTTGCTTGGGCTGGCTCCAAACTATGATCCTCACATCTCTAATTCTTACATAGCTGGGATTACAGGTGTATACTACCATACCCAGCTTCTTTTTGTGAGATAGAGTCTTGCTAACTTTCATTTTTTCATCTTGCTAACTTTTTTGCCTGCCTGGTCTCACACCATAATCTTTTCATCTCTGCCTCCTGCATAGTTGGGATTATAGACACATGCTACCATGCCTAGCTCTTTACCTGTTTTTGAGATTGTATCTCACTAACTTTTTTGCTTATTGGCCTCAAACTTCAATATTCCCATCTTTGCTGTCTGCATAACTGGGATTACAGGCATGTACCACCATGCCCAGCCCTGGCTTGTTTTTGAGATAAGGCCTTGTTAACTTTTCTTTTTTGGCACAGGCTGGCCTTGAAGTATAATCCTCCTACCTCTGCCTCTCAAGTAGCTGGGATTACAGGTGTAAGATATCATATCCAGTGCATCCTCTGTGTAACTTTCTAAGGCATAACAAAAAGCCATACTCTCTGCAGAAAATGCACCACAAAATCTAGATTCAAGCGTAAGTAGGTGTGAACTCTGGCTCTTATAGCCATGGTTTGAAATCTCAAAACCCTGCACAGTAAGTGCTGAGTGGTTGGTTAATACCTCAGGTCTGTTTTGAGAAAAGATGCCAATGAATTGATCTGGGGAGGCCTTGAAACCCTTGTGGATCAGTGCTGAGCCCACGCACTCAGACAACTCTGCAACCTGCAAAGAAGGGGAGGACAACGTCAGAACAAAGCTTACCCATGATGGACTGGCTCAGCAGTCAGCAGGCCATGCCACACGGAGGAGGAAGCTACTTCTTTATTTGTGACATGCAAGCTTCTGCTTGCCACAACTCAGTGTGAAGGACACTGATGGAAGGGTTCCAGCCCCAGGTCACAGATGTTATACACCGGGCTGTGTATGCATGTCTTTTTCTACCTCAGTTTTATAAACTTACAAATGCAATAAAGGGACACAGTTTTTCTTTTTTTCTTTTCATGGTGCTGGTATTGAACCCACAGCCTTGCACATGCTAGACGAGTGCTGTACAATGGAGCTACATCCCCAGCATCCAGTCTTTTTTTTTTGAGATAGGGTCTCACTGTGTAGCAACTGCTGGCCTCAAACTCTTGATCTTCCTGTCTCGGTCTCCCATGTGCTGGGATTATGTGTACCACAACAACTGGCTACATTTTTTTGCGTTTATAAAGAACAGCAAAGTAATCAAAACTTATCATTTGGAATAAAGATAGAAACAACAAGTATTCTGACCTTTAAAAAAAATAAGAGCAAGTTCTCATTTTTGGACTCTATAATTCCATTCTTGAGAATTTATTCTTAGTAAATAATTCAATCTTAAAGGGAGGTTTTAAAAAGCCTTATCTACAAAGATATGTATTTCAAAGTAACCTAAAGACAAAAAACTCTAGGGGAAAAAAAGACCAGTTACTGGGTGATTAAGTATATGATAAGTAAATCTCTAAGAAAATGCTAGATAGCCAATAAATGTTACAATTATGAGAAACATACCAAACAGGGTAGCAGTATTAACAATTACAAGCAACATAAGTAAATATAAAAAGCATGTACTTCCATCCTAAATTTTTTTTAAAAAAACTTTTATATCTTAAAATCTTTATTCACAATTGAATTCTCAAATGTACTTTTAAAGCACACACAGGCCTGTAAGAAATAAGCCACACCCATCCCTGCCAGGAATCCTATTGGTTCTGGCACATGGTGCCATCCCAGCCCTGCCAACTGACACTGGCAGGGTGACAGCAGGGTGTCATGAGTAGGTTCACAACTCTGTGTTTCATTTAAGGAACTGGAATGTGAAGGATGCCTGCAATTGTTTGCACAGCTTATTGGGATAATATACATCTATTTGCATCTTAAAAAAAAAAAAAACCACAGGCTAGAGGTATGACTCAAGCAGTGGAGCACCTGCCTTGCAAGCATGAAACCCTGAGTTCAAACCCCAACCTCAAAGGGATTCCTAGCCTCCAAAAGGCCAGATTAATTAGGAGAGTAAAAATAAATAAGAAAAATAAAAAGATTTAAATCTACAAATTGGGCTTCAGTTAAGTCCAGTTTTACATCTTCACCAGACTTCAACTCAAATGTGCAAAAACATAGATTACTACCTTCAGAAACTCCCACGATTTTCAATCTGCAGTGCAGAAAGCCCTTGAGGATTCTGTGAGGCCTTTGGGCCATCACACAATGCTACATGTCCAACACAAACCAAATTTTCATGCCCCTTGTGAAAATGCAAGACCTTGGAATTTGGATAAGAACCTACTTTTATCATCGGTGAGGGAAAACAGAAATAGGGAAACCCCTCTGGTCACCTGAGCTCCAGTGCATTGCTCCTTCTATGGCAAGGTATGCTAAGGTGCTTCGCCTTCTCTCTTGAGACAAACTACTCAAGCAGAGCCTTTTGTATTCTTGTCCCCCCCACTCAGAGATGGTGGGGAAGAAATCTTATGCTAAATCCGAGAAGTTCCTATAAACACTAGTCCCTAGCTGTGCTTTGTGGCTAAAATGACAACGTCCTTCACATACACACCCTCAAAAACCAGCAACTAAAAACACCTTTCACACAAACACAGAGGAAGTCAATTTGTAGTCATAAATGCCACAGGATTACCTGGCCCTGGAGGCAGGGCCATTTCCTGGACAGCTGTGTGGGAAACAAAAGGCAGCAAGCGGACGGAGGCTTCCAGCTGTGCCTGCTTGTCCAGAGTGGGACTGGGGAAAAGCAGACATCTGAATTTTGTGTAATCAGGAAAAAAAAAGTGAAAGGCAATGCCTTCCTGTTCCATGAACTGCCACTCAAACTGTTATTTAAACAGTTACAGTCACAGATCAAGGAGAAATAGGGAGTGACAAAAGTGAAAATACCCAGGTCCCAGCCTCCTCTGTGTTTGTTTATACAGAAATGCAGAATAGCTGCACATCTACTCTGAATATCTGTGCTTTTCCCTAAGGCTGCCACCCTGGGCCCTCGGAAAGCTGGCCAGGACAGCTTTGATGATCAGTGCTGGGGTCAGCCACTTCAGGCCAACTGTGACCTTGGGCAGCTTCCACCTCTTCCTGGGGGCATGATATGAAAGTGACACTTCCTCCACATTTTAAGTTTCCTAGCAGCCCTCCAGCAGAGATCTCATCCCATTGGGGATCTGAGAAAGAGCCATCTGCTTCAAGCAGTTTCTAAATTTTAACTTAAAAATTATACTCTACTACACATGCATTGTAAGGGTTTTCAACTGGAATGCTTTAAACTACCAGTTAGCTGGCGGAGTGGCTCAAGTGGTAGAGCACCTGCCTAGCAAGCCTGAGGCCCTGAGTTCAAACCCCAGTACCACCAAGAAAAAAAATAAGTAAATAAATAAAAACTTAAACCACCAGTTAAATTAGGTTCCTAGTTTCCCCTAAATCTTTATGTCAAGTTTCTCCATGGATGCTCCCTGTTTACCCTAAAGCTCTCAGCTGGTCCAGCATATCCACATGTAAAAAGCTTCCAGAGTTTTAACCCTTATGGTGCTGCACGAAGAGCAGTCCGGAGCCCAGAACTCACCTGTTTGTAGGAAAGCCATTCATAGGGTTGGTCTGGTTTCCGAGAGCCTAAACAAGGGCCATTGTCTAAAAAGAGAAAAAACGATAAAGTAAAGGATGACTCTAATGAATAAATACTGTATTTTCATTCAGCGCTTACCTTATTCTACAAAATGGAATAGGACTCTACTTTAGTCATCAAATTAGAAATGATGAGCTCAGGTGAGAAATGTTTTGTTTCTTTTTTCAAAAAACATTTTTATTAATAAATGGAGGATTCCACTGTCACATTTCCATATGTTTACAGAAAGGGGAACTATAACCTTTAAGAACCTTAACTTACGAATTCCTCTTAAACATCTGCCCTATTGACTTAGACAGGAGCCAACAGTGCACGGTAAAGACAGCCTGCTTTAGGTTTTCAGAAATGGTAGCCCTCATAACATCAAACAAGTCTTAAGCATTCTAACTCAGAATATGAAAAGGAAAATATGATTTTTTTATGTGCCCCAATTCTGATCATCAAAAGTATCAGCTGAAATCACAGAGAATCCTAATTACATGGGTGGAATCTTCACTGCCCAGAAGTAAAAATGAAGGAAAGATACAAAATGAGGGAGAATAAGAAACTGTCTGATTCCAACTTAGATACCAAAGAAGCAGAAAGAGGTCACTACATACTGCACTTTACTGCTCTAGGTTTGAATGTGTAAAGGGTTTTGTTTTGTTTTTGCACTGCTGAGGATGGAGCCCAGGGCCCTGTGCATGCTAGGCAAGTGCTCTACCACTGAGCCACACCATCAGCCCTCACAAGGGTGCTCTGAATGCGTATGGGGGATGTGGGGTAGCTGGGAAGAAAGGCAAGAGAACAGTCCTACATGTGGCCATAACAAGCCTAGTCCTGGCATATTCTAGCAAAGCATGATACATGTGCAGATTCATGTGTCAGTCATGAAGATGGGAGGACACAAGCCCAACACAGTGACTTCAACAGTCCTGATGAAAAGCGCTTTATTCTCAGACCCTCTTCAGTTTACAGAAACTGTAACAAAGGCAGGGCAGTAGATGACAAGTTCCACCAGAGGCTGTTTCCAGATGGTGGAGGAAAATACACCAGCCATATGAAACAATGCCATTTTTCCCTCAAGAACAGACTGGCAAACCACAGCCAAGGGCCAAGAGAGACCCACTGCCTGCTTTTGTAATCACAGTGTTATTGGAATGCAGCCACACTCATTCATTCACATACTGTCTGAGGCTGCAGTTGTGTACCTGCAACAGAGACCATACTGGCCCAAGAAGCGTGAAATATTTTTGTCTGGCCCTTTATGGGAAAAGTATGCCAACTCTAGCTCAAAATTATGGTGGTGAATCCCCAGGCCCACTTGTGGATCTTAAAACATGTGCCATAGCCAGGCCCTACTAACAACATCTTTGATATTATTGGATGGGAAGAGGCCAGGGCCTTGGTTTTTTTAAAGGTTCCTCAGGTGCAGCTATACGGATGACAGTTTTTGGTAGCCAGGGAACTCGGGTGAAATATTACAATGTGAGGCTTCAAGTCTCTCACTGATTTCTTTATTCAAATGCTGGGCTTTGCTCTTCTGTATCTTCATCCTAGAATAGCCCAGGACTACCAAAGCAGCTCCCAAGACAATTTATTTTCCTTCTTCTCAGAAACATTTATGGAATCTCCATTTTCTAAGTAGAAAAAGTGACCAAAAAAGTTATGCAACTTGTTAGAAGTACAGTGTAAAGACATCATTTTCCTAGAAGAATCCAACTCATTGCTAACAATGGGGAACTACATATACAGACACACACACTTTCATGTGGCCTTATGCTAGGCTGCTCCACCTTATGAATCAGACGAACTTTGATTCTGACACTAACTTTCAAAAAGTTCATATATTGCATAATACACAAACTTGCTTTCCCGTTATGGTGGGGCTTAATGAATAGGAATAGGAATACTGGTATGGGAAGATTAGAGGAATACTGGTTCAAACACAAGTTGAGAGATCCAGCTGTGCCAGTGTCTAGTAAAACCAACAGGCACTTCCTGAGTACACACTGCTTGCAGTGTCTTGTGGAGGGCAGAGAAAGCAACAGCCCCCACTGTGCGGAGATCACAATCTAGTCAACATTGGTGGCAAAAATAAATGCTAACCAAGCAAAGATTTCAATGCCAAGGCATGGATTCCAAGGACAATGTCTACAGAGTAACTTGGCAAAATCAAAACTGATGTGACTAAAACAAAAAGAGGTGTTTCTTCCTTCATAGAGGATGCACTAATGGAGCACCTATTATATGCAGGCCTGTTGGGGGGAGGCGTGGGAAGGGATGACTGGGGTTGCCCTGTTCTCAAGGAGCACAGGCTGGTGGACAGATGCCAATAAATGCCAATTAAACACCTCCATACCATGAAGGGTTATTGCAGAGTAGGTAGAAGAGACTAAGAAGGGAAAGGGGAGAAATGGAGGTAGGGGGTGAAAATGACAAACCAGGAAGATTTTATAGAAAAGGTAAAATGAAAGATGAACTGTACAAAATAAGTAAGAATACATCACGAACACTGGCTGAGGGTGAAAAGAACAGGCTTTATGATCAGGAAGATAAAAAGTATACAAAGGCTTATGTGGGAGAGAATGGGAGAGAACAGAAGTGGTCTTATTTGAGGAGTGTACTCAGGGGAGCCTGGTAGGTAGAGGTTGGAAAGAAAGCAGGTGCCAGACACCAGGGGTCTCTTATGCTAAGTTAGTAATTAAGGGCAATCCCATGAGCAAACATTTCCAAAGTGTCTCTGGCGGAATGCTGCTTCCTTGGGAGGTCAGTATTCCCTAAAATATAGGTGTAATAATCCAGTAAGCTTGAGAGACACTGTACTGGGTACAATTAGATAGGTCTTTTCACTGGAGGAACCTTAGAGTCCATCAGGTGCTAACGTACATGTGACTCTCCATAAAATGTGGGACGTGTTTGACCATGGAGCTCCCTTGGTCACAGGGAACATCTGGAGGGTCCAGTGAACTTTGGGACTGGCTCTGGACAAGTTAAAGGAAGAGAAACTAAGAAGGTGAAAGATTCATAAAAATGTGCTTTCTGAAAGTAAGGCTGTACTTTCTTTGTGAAAATCAGTAAGCTTTAGTCAAACAAATGCAGTAAGGGCTTACTTGACACCTGAAGTCCCCTCTGGAAACCCTCGTACAGTGTTCTGACATCATCATAGAAGTACACCAGAGGCTCATCACTGTCAAGGAGCGCGGACCTCCGAGCGCCATCGGTACCCTGTTGAAAAAAACGACAGGCAGAGGCATGTTAGAAATAAGCCTACAGCACGACGTTTTGGCATACATACATGTTGTGAAATGGCTGAAGGAAGCTAATTAACTTCCCGTGCTTATCATTTATTTCTGGTGTGAACACCTAGAATTCACTGTCAGCAATTTCCAAGTGTATAATACATGGTAACAAAGTATAGTCACCATGTTGTGCGACAGAGTCCCTGAACCCACTTTAACTATTGTACACCACAAATACATACAATTTCTATTTGCCCATAAACACCAATAAATAAAATAACAGCCTAACATACAGCCCAGTTCTAGCTGGATGAATGAAGACCAGGATCTGCTAATGTACTCACTAACAAAAGTCAGCTGTTCACCTGAGGGGACGTGCCCCGCTGCAGAGAAGCAAGGCTGTGGCAACACAGCTGTGAAAGGTTGCCTTTCCCCAAATGATACTGAGGAAAAGTGAAAAGCAGTTCCCAGGCATACAAAAGCAACTATCCTGCCAGACAAAGCCAAAAAGAGGGATTCTCAAACAACTGCCACCAACAGCAGAGGATGAGCCTGTTCAGTCATAGTAGAAACAACACACCAGTTTCACTTGTATGATATCATCTATGTGCTTTGTGAGATCTATGTCCTCACCCACTGCCATACAACCCATTAGGAACTTCAGTTCTCCTCACCCACTGCCATACAATCCGTTAGGAACTTCAGTTCTCATGTCGCATCTGACAGTGAAAATCACCAGCTACAGAAGACAAGCAGGTGCAGGTGCAGGTCTGCACTGGTTTTATTTGCCACATGGAATGGTGTGCAGACCTGATGTCACTGAGTGCCTTCTTCTAACCTGTCTCTGTCTACTGGCTCATAGGCAGTACTGAGGTTTGAACTTGGGGCTTTGTGCTTGCTAGGCAGATCCTTTACCTGTTTAACTACAGCCCCAGCCTTCTTTTGCTTTAGTTATTTTTCAGGTACGGTCTCAAGTTTTTGCCTGGCCTCAGACCTTGATCCTCCTACCTGCAGCCCCCCATGTAGGAATTACAGGCACGACCCATTGCACCTGAGCATTTTTTAAAATTAGGGTTATTCATTCCTCTTCCTACAAGCTCTTTTGACTTTTCGTCCCCCACTTAAGTGGTAATTTACATACTGCTTAAAAATATTTGAATGGTTTACTTTAGCAAGGAAAAAAAGACTACTATTAATAGTTGTATACAGACTTTTCCTATGGGTATACATTTATATACATTCTTTCAGTGGGGAGATGGGGGAGGAGATGGGAGATATAGGGCTCAAACCCAGGTCCTTTTTTGTAGGCAAAAGATCTACTCGTTTAAGGTAATCAAAACTTGCAAATGGTTTCCAGAGTAAATATGATCCAATCACATATGTTAATCATCTCGATGTCTTCACTATCTTGGCAGAAACTTCTAAATGCCTGTATCCGTGATTTCAAACATAACTATTAGCTGCAACATGCTGCTTGTAATGAAGTTATTCTTCATGTCATGAAGACGGGAAATTCTCTTCACTTCAGTATCACACAATCTTGTTGATTTACCTTGTTTCTTTTCTGTAAAATGGAGTTTCTAGATCCACTCCTAGAATTATTTTTAAATAAGAACATTTTTGTAAAATATGAAAGTTTATAAAGAAAATGTAAGTCAAAATGACATTGAGATTTCACCTCACTCTAGTCAAGACAACTACCAGGATTAACACAAATAACAAATGCTGGCGAGGATGTGGAGGAAAAGGAACACTTCTACATTGTTGATGGGAATGTAAATTAGTACAACCACTATGGGAAGCAATATGGAGGTCCCTCAAAAAACTAAAACTGGAACTGCCATACCATCCAGAGATAATACTCCTAGGCATAACTCTAAAGCAGTGTAGTCCAGAATACAGTAGAGCCACTGGCACACCCATCTTTATTGCAGCACTACTCACAATAGCCAAGATTTGGAAACAGCCCAGATGCCCCACAACTGATGAATGGATTAAGAAAATGCGGTATATATACACAATGGAGTTTTACTCAGCCATAAAGAAGAATAAAATTATATTGTTTGCAGGTAAATGGATGGAACTGGAGAACATCATGTTAAGTGAAGTAAGCCAGGCTCAAAAAGTCAAAGGTCCCTTATCTGTGGAAGCTAGATCTGTAAGTTACATGTACACATAAATAAATATACATACACATATATATATATACATGCATATAGTGAGAGAGAGAGAACAAGATTATATTAATGAATCTGTCTGAGGGGACTATGGGAGGCAGGAGAAGGAAAGAAAACCATTAGAAAGTGAAAAACATTGAAACATTCCATCTATATATGAATATAACACAATGCACTGTAAGCTTTGAACAACAGGGAGCATGGTGAAAGAGAAAGTAATGAGGGGGGTTAACCTGATTAAAGCAGGATGTAAACATGTCTGAAATGCCAAGGTGAAGACCCCTTAATATACACTTTAAAAAAAAATGAAGGACAGGAGGGAAAAATAAGTCTTTTCTGGGGGTGAGTACCAGTGGGAGGGGAGGTGGGCATAATGAAAGGGTGAATGAGGGTGAATATGGTGGATATATTTTGTATTCATTATGAAAATAGAAGAAACCTGTCGAAATTGTTCTAAGAAGGGGGAGGGAGGAGAAGGGAGAAAGATGGAGGGGGTAAATCTAAGATACATTGTAGGCACATATGTAAATATCACAATGTATTTCCCCCCTACAACTATTACATGCTAATAAAAATTATGAATATGCACATTAAAAATATGAATGCATAGAATGTTACTATATACCTAATCACACATGCCAACAAAAGTACAAATTCCCGTAACTTCTATCTTCAATAAAGTAAAATTCAGAAGCCATTCTGTGGCTTTCTAGTAAGCATGAGAAAGAAGCCTTTTCAATCCATGAAGCCACCACAAAGACTGAGGCTAAGGAAGCAGAGGAAATAATGCTAGGCAGAAGGACAGAGAATAGGGGTAATGGGAAGGAATGAGAAAGATAAGAGAAGGAGTGCATGGTGCAGAAAGCCTAACCGCCAAAAAAGCCTGCCTCCTGGCTCCCTGCCAAGAAGAGACCTCAGGGTGCAAGCAGCTGCCACCTGCAGGGAAGTCGTGACACATTCTGCTAATGATGGTGCTGCCATACTTCTCGCATACTTCTCACAGTGGCATCAATGCATTTGTGGAACTTCTCAGTAGTATGTCTTTAAACACAATACCGTTTTTACATTTCTACATTCAGCCATTCTTCTGGCTGAAAATGGGGCAGATAGGAATCAGTTAAGACTCAAACTTATTCTGAAGGAGCTTGAGACTTGTCCTTGAGTGCCAGAGGGACTCCAAGAAACACTGGCTGAGCAAAAGAACACAGATGAAGTCAGAATGAACAGACAGGACTAGGCCTGGAGCCTAAGGGCTCATCCTAGCACCAAGGTCTGCAGAGTGTAGTCTGGGAAGCACCTAGCACTTGTGAGGGAAGGGAATGAGCAGGTTTGAATCAGAAACTCTGGGGTATGATCCAGCAATCAGGCTTTCAACAAGCTTGTCACGGAATCATCATCCAACAGACATCAAGAAATCTACAAGGAGTGTAAGCAGTGTATAGGACAGGATGGGGGATGCTAGACAGAAACCAATTTATATGGGCCTGGACTAGGGAACTGGAGAGGTACAGGGGGGCTGGGGGGAGTACCACAGGGCTATGCATGGGACCTGGCAGACAGCAGTGTGTAAGAGAAAAGGACAAATCAAAGGGCTGAGGACCTAATAGTTCCATCTAATCAAATGAAGAGTGGGGCTCAGGAGGAGGTTTGAGAAAAGACACTAAGTTTAGCTTGGATTTGGAGACCATATCCCTTCAAGAGAAGCCAACTTCCCAATTCATTTTTTCAAAAATCACTGCTCTAGAAAGAAGATCATTTTATAATAAACTTTTGATTAAATTCTTTAATTACATTTAAGTTTTTGGTAGAGTATAATCTTCAGGACTTTAAGAAATGGAAGTAAAAATGCCAATTCAAAGTTTAAAAAGTTAATTATATCCCTATTAAAGTCATCATCTTGACAATATAACCTGAGGACAAGATATTTATTATTAGTCTAATTAGTAATCAAAATAATTAGCAAAAGCTTGAAAATGAAGCAGGAACGAGATATATGCCAAAAAAGAGTTAACTGGGTTAAAAATGGCACTGTCACTAAATTGTAAGGCACATGCTATAATATCAAAAGAGGACAGTGAATGAAATGGGGAGGAACACTACCCTTTGAAAATTGCTGTTCTATGAATGATCATACTCTAACATATCATTTATGTGCATAAGCATTCCCCTTCTTCTTGAACGAAAATGTAATACTCAAAATACTGAGCGTTCAGTCATAGTTAGAACTACTAGTGAGAAAGATAGCTGAGAATCCCAGCTATGACAGCTGGAGCCCAAAATGTCTGCATGTGTCACAAAACAGAGCCACTCTAAAAGCAGGTCCTTTTACTACTGGGTTATCCAAGTGCATGTGGCTATTTCTAGGAACATCTACCAAGTGGAAAATATCTTAAGAGTGGCCTTCTAACATAACCTGATGATGGAGGCTGGGAGGGGCTGAGTTATACTCAAGAAGTAGACAAGCTAAGCAGACAACCTGGTCAGTCATCAAGACTGAGTCAGGACGGAGTATGGGTCTTTTATGACTTCTTTAATATTGTTACATAGTTTTCCCAATTTAAAAACAAAAGATGGTGAATATAACACATTACAGTCAACCAGCTGTCACCAGTATGCTCTCCAACATCTACACAAGTATCAGTCTCCCCACAGCTGAATTAGGAAGTAAAAATTCAAGTCCCCTCCATGGCAGGAAACACTGAACATCAGTGGTTCTTAAGACTAAAATTCCCTTTTTTTTTAAATGGCACTGGGTTTCAACTTAGAGCTTCACATGCTTGCTAGACAGGCGCTCTACCACTTCAGCCAT